GAGAAACATTTCTCAGGCACCAACACATTCTCCCAGATCGTGGCAAAAAGTAGATTTCAGCAATGAAAATATTGAGATCCTGTTATCACCCCCAAATGGACTTTGTTCCAGGTCACAAAGTTTCAATGCTGTTTAGTTCCCTGTGGTGCTCACTTCGCCCCCATATGAGGACCCACATAAGAGCTGGTGAGTAAGCCCTTGCCRGATCCCTGGTAAATATTGCTTGTATTAGACACACTGTTAATCACAGCTGTAATAATTTCTTAACTTTCCATTAAATATTTCCAGCAGCTCTTGACCTTGCCAAAAATCTCTCCTTTTACAGTCGGAGATAAGATCAGCACTGGCTTCAAGGGCACAAAGTTAAGATAATTCTAAGAACCAAGATTATATTTTGCATACTTCTAATTTAGCTTGGTTCAACAGCTTTTTAAGGCAGAAAGTATTACTGTAGAAAATAGAACTAATTATTTATTTTAGAATTAATAATGTTTGGCATAGACTATGAGTCATTTCCTTGCTGAAATAAATTTTTTTACTCATCAAATTTGCTCATGGAGTAATTATCATGAAGACAGGGAGGTTTTTTATTCCCAGAACAAATTTAAAGAGATATTAATATCTTGTAAGACCAAGTCCCAGATGATTCACTGATAAATCATTACAGGCACTTAGAGAATGAAGTTTGTGTAACACAACCATAGCTAACAAACTGCATCGTGACAGAGGAAAAGAAAAACAACAGAATATTTATTGACATAGTAAGTGCATCGTATAATATCTTAACAGAGCAAAGGTTTGCATTCATTTTCCCAAATGGTTTGTCATTTTGCACAGTTAAAAATATTATAAAGTTTTCTGTCAGTCTWAAAAAAGCTAAGAACATGAAAGAATCCTCAAAGCTACTTCTAGAGGTTTTAACCTAAATGCTCTGACACTTGAAGCAAAAGACTGGTGCAAAGGGGACCCAAATWTACTTCCAAATCCTTTGAGATTAGAGTGAAAATTGAAGCTTTCCATTTAATAACATCCTTTTTTTTTTTCCCCCCTGCAGTCATTCTTTAATCCGGGAAATTGTAGATGGAAGTATCTGTAATAATCTGTGCTTTAAAATTAGAAGCAGATGATTAAATTTCTATGAAGATGCCAAAGAAAAACAGAAGATATTTCAACAAAATTTATTGCCTAAAAATTCTAGATACAAAAAAATGGAGGCAACATTTAARTGCCTCTAATCTGAGATTTTTTGTTTGGTTCGTTGTTTTTTTTTTTACCAGTGGAGAACAGCCTTTTACAGGAATCCCAACAAAAGGTCAGGTTTGAGAAACTCCCTTTCCTTACTACACTCTTGGTGATCCAGTGTGCTGGGAGGTTCATCCTGCCAAACCTTTTGGTCAGATCTGATGCTTTCCAAGGACCCTAAATGAACAGAAGCATAATCCCTACGAACTCAGGTGTGGATTGTAGATCAGGGTCAAAATCCCCTGCCTGCTAGTGGTCCCTGCCACAGCCTGAGTCCTCTCACAGCCCTTTCCTTGTTGCTGTTGGCTGGGAAAAAATGCTAGTGAAAAATTGGTCATAAAACTTGTGAATTTCTCGTCTTAAATCATACTATAAAGTCTCTACCAGCTGTCTACTCTTTCTCGCAACAGGTCCCTCTGCTACCTTGCAGCCATTTCATCTGTTACTTTGCACACTTTCTTTATCCCTTGAATGCCATCTCCATCCTCCTCATCTTCCGTACCATCTACTTGTTCTCTCTTTCTCTTTTGTTTGCTGTTTGSTGCCAGGTCATCCCTTACCAGCAGATTAGAAAGAACTCCCCAGCTGCTTCTCTCCTCCACATGTGGATGAGTTTTTTTGTTTTTTTTTTTAACTTAAGCCATATTTGTGCTGATTCATACTCCATACAGACACACAAATCTGCAAAATTAAGATGGCAAATCATAAACTAAGTGAGCTTCTTTAGCAATCATTAAAGCATTGGGTACTCTATACCTCATATGACAGAAATMATTTTCTCACATGTTGTGCTTTTCTTTTGTTAAGATAATACAAACTTAGACTTTTCACACTGCAGATAACCCCCTTAACTTCCACTGTGTATCTCAGAGCCTAAGATTACACATGTACAAATACTTTACAGAAACTCATCTGGGTCTGTTAAAGGCTTGCATTASAGGTTTATCTTTGGCCCAGAAAAAAACTGATTTGTTCATTTTATAAATTCCAGTAGCCCCCAAGCAGAAAAGGGATTTGACTGAGTTTGTTTTTTCCTAAGGCTAGGAATACAGTTAAAGAAGAAGACCTATTATACCAACTCTTATGGAAAAGCACCAGTACTGATGAAAAGAAATTATGTTCAGCTTGGTACCTGGGAGAGGAAAAATCCTTTAGGGAAAAAGCACAAGGGCTGGAAACCCAGCTTTGATGCTGATGTCGTAGAYGACAGCAAGAGCTGGTCTACTGAGATCGTATTTTCCTCCTCATATTTTCTCATCGATAATTAGATCGTAACTGCAGGTTTTTAAGAAAATCTGAGGTGGTCATGGCTCAGAAATCCTTGTCCCATTTGCAATGGTGGGTACCAAGAGCCCTATCCTGGGATCATRTGTAAGTACTTGATTTATGAACTATTCCAGAAGTTCATAAATAGGTAATCACAGTGTCTGCATAAAGCATTTCCTTCTCTGTTAGGCTAAGTGGAAGATTGAAATGTTGCTTAGCAGAGACAACAGGAATAACATTTTTTCTGTGTCTTCTTGTACCTGCATTCTGTGGCCTGAAGATGCTGACTCAATCAAAACAACACCCATTCTGCAAGCCTGTAAATTTGCATGTGTTTGTGCATGTGCACACAGACACAGAGGTTTGTTTGTTTGTTTTTAATTAATTTTTGCTCTGGCAACTCTTTAATCACTTAATTTTTGCTCTGGCAACTCTTTAATTGCTAAGTACCACAAAATGAAGTACTGAGCATCTAGTATTTATTCTCTGAAAACAAAGTTTTTGTCTACCTGGTATGAGAACCTCAGGTTGTGGCTGAGATATTWACAACAGATGATTATTATAACAGAACCGTTTGAAAACTGACCTCAACATTTTTCATTCTTACCTTGCTCCCAATGCCCAAACTGATAAAGAAATAGATTTTGTTTCTTCTCCAAAGGAGCACACCTAAATATGACTCAGCAAAACAGTTTCAGACCCAAATCAACAATGACAATAATTGTAAAAATATCCATGGACCKGGGTTCTCTCATATTAAATTAATGATGCAGTACCTTATTTGTTACAGTAACTATGGAAAAAGGCACTTTAGAAAACATTACAGAGCTTACTGAAGAAAATTATAGGTCTGTTTCATAGAGCGAGAGTATTAATTACTGGATTGAGGTGATTTAAAATTACTGTTAGCAAAGCTACATGTGTTCATAGAGATGTTAACAACAATAAAAAATAATTAACCCTAAAATCTTAGAGATTTATTTCTAAATTTTTAAAATTATTATTAGTTTCCTGCAAACAATCACACAAAAAAAAAATTAAATAAAAAAAAAAGAAGAAAAGTTGAGTGTTCCCTGGAAAGGTTGACATTAAAAGAGACAGTTTCCTTTAAAGCGAGATCTCTTCCAATTAATGAAATATTGTTAGGGTTATGATAAGGAAACAAGTCTTAAATTGTTATGCTTTGGCAATAATATGTCAAAGAAAATTCCCTGCACATTCAATGTGTCAGGTTATCCATTTTAATTTATCTACCAAAAAAGTAGGTTATTTAAAATCATCTTATTTCATCAAAAGATATTACAAGCATGTTTTAAAGATACCAACAAAAAAATGATATTTTTAATCTTGTTGTATTTTTTTCTCTTGCACAGGAAGAAAATGTAWTTTGGTCAGCATAAATTTATGGTAAAAAAATTTTAAATGTTAAGGTGGTAAATATTCTAAAAATATTGAAACCCAAAGCATATGATCAGAAAGGCACAGTGTCTTTTTTATGTTATTAGATTAATGTAGCACCATAAYAATTCTGTGTACTTCAAAATCTTGACATAAAATAAAAGATATAAACTTGTATAGCAATCAACAAAAATTTTTAAGAAGATGGTTTGAGTGTAAAAGTCAAGCTCAGTTTGTGTCTTCATTAAATACGTGGCTCCACAAACATATTGAACCAAATTATTTGCTAACTACTGCTACTATCTAACAAGATACCTTTTATAATGCACAGGATAGTTCTACCATTCAGAAGGTGCTGCAAATTAGTTAGGAGAAATTTTTAGTTAACCTTGTAAATCCTGTTGAGGTGGAGTCTGAATATAACATTAAAGCCACCCACTTTGCAAAACTTCATAAAGCCAAACTAAAATATTGATTTCCAGCTCCCAGACTAATACATGCTATCCTATCTATGAAGCTGAACTCGTATAAAAGTAATTTATAAAAACTGAAGAAATGTTTAGCACCCAAAAAATATATCATCTGTGAAGCTCCAAATGATTGTCAAGTAGCCACTTCAGGAGTCAGTGACTTCTCCCAGTGGTAAAGCTAAATCTTTGACTAGAAACTAAACCTACAGCTCTCCAAATACTAATTGGAAGGCAAATGCGTGTGTTTAAGACTTCTATAGCTTCTCAAAGAACATTTAAAGGCATTAAACTATGTCCAGACGTGTCTTTCCAAACATGGAAACTTCTATTTTGTTAATTTCTTTTTTGCTGTTTTTACTGAGCGATGAAGTGAAACTTGTCTTTAATGTGTAACTCTCAGCTACATAAATTTGGAATTTCCATGGGAGCATTCCTGCAGCAACCAAAAGAGGAAATTTCCCAGACTAACAATCGTGAATTATTCCACTGCTTCTCAACATGGAGCTTTAGAGAAAGACAGAAAAATGCCTTGTTCTCATGCCATTCTCTGAATCATCCTGCACATACAGTATCATGCTATATGCACAACTTGCATTTGAAGAATTGGAACAGAACCCTGAAAAAAAAAAAAAAAAAAGATATTGTTTAATAATACCAGTTTGAGATGTTTCAACCCATCCCCTGGGGAAAAAAAGTGACAAACAGGTGCAGTCATTTTTTTTCCCTCATGAATGACTTGAATTTATCACAATTGCAAACATAAATATAGTTTGGGATTTTAAGTGCATATCTAGGTTGATTACAATTAGAAATATTTTTTCTGACAATCCTACCCCTCCCCCAGAAATTCAGCATTCCTCAAGTCACCATAGCACTACTTAAGAGCTTTGAGTTCAAAAGCATTCTGATGTGATGTTCTTCCAGTAACTGTGGTGGCCGACTTTCACTCTATGGCAGTGCAGGTGCTAAGCAAGTGAGGTTCAGCTCTCTTCAGCCTAGTGTGCAATTCTCATCATTCCCATGTATCCAGAAGCAAATTTGGGCATATTTGAGAGGAGTAATTCGTACTGCTACATTGTAATCCTGCTGTTCACCATTGATGTCCACCCACTGATGGCCTGAGTAAACAGCGATGATCTTGCGTTTCCACTTCTTTTTGTTTGGCTCCTTAAGGCGGAGATAGATGCCAGAACCTGTGGAGCCAGGCTCAGCATCACAGTACTGATAAAACAGATCATTGGACTCATCAGAAATGCTACAAAATCTATACACTAGCTGCCCAGAGCGATCATTGTCAAAACCCGAGAAGTGGATCATGCTCCCAGGCATCATTTTGATTGTTGGGCTGATTCCCAGCTCCATRTATTTCCTTTTGTGGGGACGCTTGAGCTCAAGAACTGCGTAATCATAATCCAGAGCAATATCCCCAGAGACACYCTTAAACCAGCCTTTTGGGATGTGGGTACTCTTCACCCGTGTCCACTGGAAGGAAGGTGTGCTATCTGAGCTCTCTTGCTTCCTCCCAGATCTCCTCTGCTTTCTCCCATCACCTTTGGATTGTCGCCTTGATTCTGTGGTGGCTTTGGGATCCTCTTTGGCCGCAGAAATGTCTCTCCTGCTTCTCCTAGCGCCTTTGCGTTTCCTGCCGYTGCCTCTGGATTTTGTCTTCATGAGGCCCACCCTCAGCCTTTTGCTGCCCTTAACATAATCCTTGCCRTTGTGCAGACAGTGRGCTGCTGTGAGCACGTGCTTGGGGGAAACCAGAATGCCACTGCAGCCTGTGGAGATCTTGACAGCTGTGTTGAACGGAAAGTTGGTCATAAACTTCTTGTCATAGATGCTGAACCTGCTGTCTGTTCCATAAATCTGCCTCTTCTTCCTCGAAGGCCTTCGGGTGGTTGTGTTCCCAGCTGGGTCAGGCACTGCCCCAAGGACATTCACTTCTGTCAGGGTCCGTGTGCCATTTTCAAAAACAGTCTCGTAGGATAAGAGGTTCTTCAAGTCAGACAAGCTTGGCACTGGCAGTTTTCTCTGACATTCAATCCCACATACGCTGTTCAGCTCTAATTCTGTATTTGCTTCAAATTTAGGGCTGTCAAGGGAGAAAGTTCTTTCTCTCACAATCTGGGGAATCTTCTTTAAGTGCCAAGTAAAATCTTGTTCAGTTTCTGTTCCATTGCTGACACCCAATATAGGTATGAAAAATATGAATAGCAGTAACATGTGCTCCATTTTATTTTAATTTTTTCTAAAACAAGAAAGAGACATTTGAAAATACACTTTGGAAATGAAAGCAGGTATCTTAGTATATTCTAAGTATAATCATGCAAGTTTAGAACTGACATCAGTGGAACAGAATTCTACACTCTGCTCAAAATAGAAATGCCTCAGATATTCCCTGTATTGCCTCTGACTCTCCCAATGGTTTCTAGCACGATGGATGCAGACAATTCAGCTGAGYTACCTACTGGAAGGGGAAACCAACTGAGTTTTACCTGTTTTTCCCTCAGTGGGCAGGAGTCTGAGTCATTCCACTTGACAGAGTGCCATGGTTTTATTTATTCTATAGGAATGTGGTTAGATATGATGTTTCTGTTTCTCTTTTCTATAGTTATATGGTTGAAATCATTAAAAAMCCCCAGTGTATTCAAAAGTTGGGATCCAAGCAGCGATGGATAGACAGAGTTCACTCATGAGACTTAGGACCCCTTAGGAAACCAGACCAATTGTGCTCTTTCATGTGGTGACCAAAATGTGGCTTTAACTGGCTTAAAAGAAAGCAGTGGTTCTCCACTACCCACCCAGCTGAGAACTATGAATGTGCCCATATGAGAAATGGCACTTTGCTAACTGTTATCCCAAGGAAACAAGGTCTCCTAGGATAGACAGACAAGTGAGGAAAGCCTGATGCTGCTGGTGTAGGGGAGTCTCCTGGTTTCATACACACACAGCAAAGCTCAACTGAGTGGGAGGGACAAGTCTGGTTACTCATCACATGCCTTTTTCAGGATCCCACAAAGACTGTAAGAACTGTGATGTCTGTGCTTTATGGAATGTCATGTGCCACATGTGGAGTGCCCCACCTAGATGGGGTGATGCAGCATACCAAGAGCTAATACTTTAAATGGGAAAGATAAAAAGCAAAATTATTCCCATCTGTAGTTGAAAAACATGCAGGAAATATGTAAAATTGTTAGAAGTCCATGGCAGAGCCAGAAACTGAACGCAGAACTCTTGATTCTGAGCTCAACACATTACTGAAAAGACCATTTTTCTCCCTTGGCAGCATTGATGTCAGTGGCATTATCCAGCTGGCAGCTGCCACTGGGAAACCTGTGCTCAGTTCCAACATCCTTCATTCCAATTACATGGAAACCTCAGCAGTGAAGGAAGAAAGGGACTATGATTAAACTTTAAAAGCCAAGCAATTGAAGGATTTGTGTGTGGTTAAGCTCTCTGGTTTATATGGCAGTGGCAGTGGAGGTTGGGGAAAACATAACCATTTTTCTTAATTTTAGTTTAGAATAATTCAAGTGGTGCTCTCCAGTGACACAGCCTGGCTACAGGCTAGCTGAAGATCTAGCATGAAAAATAGGGGCATGTGTGCAACATGGAAGAAAGAAATGGGAACACCACTTTTAAAGCTGTATAATGGACCAGTGACTCTTATGATTTTTGAGGCATCTTTACCCTATAGACATATTTGTTTACTATAGAAAGTAATATTTTTTTTTTTTTTTTGCTAAGCAAGCACTACAGCTCAACCACAGCTTGTTGCTTCGGATGCCAGATTCAGAGGGTGGATTTGTTTTAGCACAGTTTTGACACTTTTCACCTTTGCCAGTATGGAACACCAACTTTGACCTCAAGTCCACTTACTAAGACATATATCTATATCTATCTATCAATCTATCTATCTATCTATCTATCTATCTATCTATCTATCTATCTATCTATCTATCTATCTATATCTTTATCTATATCTACACCACAGTTTACAATGAAAAGAAACCCTCCCTGACTTTAAATTAGCTGGCTCAGATTTTGGAGAAGATGTGTGGACTTTCCTAAGACATCTGGAGATACAATGACTCACAGGTCTGAGCTCTCTGGTGTATGTGGTCATATGAAAAGATATCTGAAGGTTTTGAAAGCAGAGCAGAATCACTCCAGGCGCAAGATTTTGTAGAGCAACACCAGTCAAGGTTACTGGTATAGCAGAAATCTGCACTTTTAAACATTAACTTTGATATACAAAGTTACCTTCAAAGTGTTGGTTCAATTATTGCTGAACTAAATACTAAATCTGAGGAAGAATGACAGTTTTACGTATTGATGGGTAAGTTAGAAGGTGTCAAAATAAAAAAAAATACTATAACAAGAACATAAAAATACCTTCCTGACCTGACCAAAGGTCTGCCTGGCCTAAAATCCTATTTCTGACACTGGCAAAATGTGGTTGCCTTGGGTAAAGGATAGGAATAGGGCAACCACATTTGCCCCTCCTCCCTCATAGTTTCTTAACTTACAACCAGTTGTACCTGATGMACTTTAAAGCAGAGGTGGTTTCTGYAGTGWAAGGRAACCTTAGTGATTTCTCTTCCCTTAACAATCTTCCCTTGAACACATACAAAATTTTGTAGCCATAATAGTCTGTGTCTAGGGGTTCCACAGCTTAACTACATRTTGTATGACAAAGCATCTCCTCTTCTTTATTGTCAACCTGTCACAAACTAGCATGATCTGAGAATAAATAATGTGATATTAATGTAGAAAAAATGGTTTAAATTTGCTTTGTCCTATTATAGCTGCTGAACAAGACAGTTCTTCTGTCAGCCTCAAGAATGCTTTTGCTATTTTTCCCTAGAATACTCCTCCCTTTCTCAGCTCTTCCTCGGGTCTAGGATATTTGATAGTCYTCTGTAGCTGAACTTTGTGGGCCATAAGGAAAGTTCAGCCACTAACTGCTAGTTAGTAAGAAAGTCTTAGAAAGTCTGGGTTGATGTCATTCCACTGTGATGGCTGAAGTCTTCCCAGTTGGACTCATTACTAAGTTTATAGAGAAGTCCATTKTTTTCTCTGTGCTTTATAGAGAGACTTTCTTCAAGCAAATGGGTGGAGTACTATGGCTCCTTTCTGCCCCTCTTTAAAAAGAAGGGAAAAAAACAGTCAAAGCACAGAACCTTCAATAGATGCCTTGGAGCCTTCCATTTGAAACACGATACTCAAGTGCTCGCTGCTTACAAAGGCAGTCTTGGAAGCCAAGATTTTCTTCTTTTATAATGAACCACTTGTCACTGGGAATGAACTGACTACACTTCAGGACAACTGGAAGCAGTTCAAGCTGAGGAGCTTGATAAACAAGGTAATTTTCTTTACAGACCAGAGCAGTGGTCCTGCTAGGAGTGTTGTCATTTCCAGCCCTGCATTCAGGACCTATTTACTGACCCCATTTCTGCTGTTTAAAGGAGGCCAGCTCCGAGCACAAGGCAATGTCAGCAGTTGCCATGGCCTGGTAACAGGAGAGAGAACACAGCCTCCAGGGGGAGGAGGAAGTGTCCTGACCAGGCTACAACAGCGAATTGCAGCAAAAAAAAACTCAATATTGTCACCCTATCTGCTGTTACCCTTCCTACCCTTCTCCACTCTTCCTCCAAACCCCAAGATGCTCTGCTCTCTCCTTTTCTTCACTTCTTTCCCATACACATTTTGGGTTGGCTTACAGTAATTGGAATCCTTGAGTCAGCTCTTTAGGTAGGACAAATTGCTTTAGAGAAGACAGGATAGAAACCAGAAAGTGAGAGAAATCCCCAGCTACATGAAAATGTTGAAATTCTTCCTCCAGTTCCCAAACTCAGCTGATAACAGGACTCCCTATTTGGTGGCATTCCAGCTGCCAGGCATACCCATACAAGTAAAACTATTTTCAGTTCTCCTCACTTCTTGCTTCCAACATCAAATCTTTCAGCAGGACAAACAGGATAAAACCTACCTAACTTTTCAGGATCTCCTTCAAATATTTTGCCATAACCTACCTTACTCCAGCTAAACGCATCTCAGATGCTCAGGAGAAGGCTCACAGTCAAGCAGAACTATAGCAGGTTTCTCYTCAGGATACCATAGAGGGAATTTACATGTGAGTGTAGCTCAGACAGGAGAAGAGTTCAGTCCAGCTTCCTGGCAGTGTTTTATCTCAGCCTGTTCAGTGCAGACTCTACCCTGGGGTTTCATTCCTCTTGTAGGAAAGTCAACATATTTCAAACTAAAAATATTTCAGGCCACAAAATTCCAGAGGCTGCTATACTAACCATCTCCTTAATGTGCTTTTGGCTTTATTCTTGAAATGACCTGTAAGGTGGAATTCACAGTTCTACTCTAACAAAGCAAAATAGAGAACAAATTTTTGAAATCTCACGTTCCCTGGAAGAAACATTTCCCTAATCTTATCTTTCACTAACTCTCCTTCCCTCCTCTAGGTGCGCTCGCTCCTCATAGTGATGCATGGGTGTTGTCCTCCTCTCTGGCTTGCAGGAAAAAACCCACTGCGGCTCCTGGCTCTTACAAAATCTAGGCAGCTTCAGTACGCAAAGGAAGAACTAAATTTACACATCGGGCGTGACAGCYCATTTCTGAAATCACACACGCTGGGAAAATAGAGGACGCGGGATTAAGSGGCTCCGGGACAGGGCTGCCCCTCTCCCGCAGTCCCCGCCGCGGCCGCGGGGCGGCGCTCCCGGACAGGCGGCAGCGGCTCCGTGCCCGGCTGCAGCCCCCGCGTCCCGGGCCGCTCCTCCCGACCCTCCCCATCCCCGGGCTCCGCTCCCCGCTCCTCCGGGCCGCTCCTCCCGACCCTCCCCATCCCCGGGCTCCTCTCCCCGCTCCTCCGGGCGGGTTCCTCCCGACCCTCCCCATCCCCGGGCTCCTCTCCCCGCTCCTCCGGGC